GGACAAGGACTGGGTCTGGCCCACTGCTGTTCTGCCTTCTAGCCCCTCTTCCTCCCAGCCAGGCCAGGTGAGCAGCATGAAGCAGGTGGAGAGCATGAAACCTTCATGCCGGGGGAGGCCAAACCAGGCCATCTCGTCAGCTCGTCTCCAGCTTCCTCTGTCCCCTCCAAACTTTGCCCGCGTCCAGATTCGTATGGGTGGGAGCAGGCGGCTGCCCGGGCCACCTGCCGGCTGCAGCCCGCATCTTGCAGGCAATGCTGCGCCCTGGTGTCGATTCTCAGCACTGCAGCTCCGGAGCCAGCTCCTGGCTCAAGCCCTCCACCCCGGGAGGGAGACGTCTCCATCATTTCCAGTGCGCAGCTGGGCCGTAGTGGAGAGTTCATGGTCTGCTTGGTATCCCCAAGGCTTGTGAGTGTGGAAGCTGAGGGTCGGCCCCGGAGCAGCCTGCTCTAAGCCTGAGCCAGCATCCGTGCCCACCGGCTCCCCTGCCCGGGAGGACTGACGACGTGGCCGCTGCCTAGAGCTACTGCGACAGCCTGAACTTGATGTTCTTCTGATTATAAGAGTACAGGTGCATTCCAGAAAATTCCAGAAACAGGCAACTGTAACGAAATGAAGTGTAAAGCCAAAGATACCAACTGTTCACCATTTGGTGTATGGCGTTCTAATGTGTCTTTTATACATATCAGTACATTTATTCCAAATTGGGGTTTCTTTTCTCAAGTAGCAATGACTATGTCCTGAGTTAAAAAGCAGAAGGAAATCTGGACCGTGACCTGGTGAGGCAGTCGGAGCCTGTGCGTGGGGAGCTGGTCCCACAGCCCCTAAGGCCTTTCCAGTCCCTGCCTGGTCCCTTGAAAAATGCTAGTCTGTGACCAGCCCCCAAATTCTTGGGACATGGGGGTGGGGCAAGTTGCAGCATGATGGTGCCCTGTACTTTCCCTCTCCTTCCCGTTCTGAGGGCCGCCAGCGCCCTTGGGCAATTAAAAAAAAGAGAGAGGGAATGGTATTAAAATGTGAGCTTGTTTTGGTACAAAAATTTTTGAAATGCCTGCTTAGTTTTTTTATAATACATATTTTGTATGAACTTTTTGAAGACCCCCTTGTATTTTTTTTTTTTTTTAATCATAGTGTGTATGCACTTGCTAGAGAGAGCTAGTGAGAGGGAAAGTGAGAAATCACTCTTCGGCGGGGACAGCCATGCTGCCATCCTTTCTCCTCCATTCTCCTCCTGGGATTTTTGGACATGCACACACACTAGTGTAATTTTCAAGCTACCATGTCCTGGACTCAAACCATGGTTGGCCGTATGGAAGTCCAGCACCTTTGCCGCTCTGCCACCTGCTGGTCCCCTAATAGCTACATATCTATTTTTTAATAATCCAAATCAGAATTTTAAAATGTCAAAAAGAAAAAAATTAATTGCAGATCTTGGACTAACCCACAGTAGTATACACTTAGTACTTGCCGGCAAGCTTTGCTCTCAGGGAAACCTGCTTCCTGCCCCTCGCCTTGGAGACTCCATCCATAGGGCTCCCACAAACGTGAGAATGCACATCTGTGTGACTGGGTCTCAGGAGTGGGATTGCTTACAAGAGGGCTTGTGCCTTCCTACATCTTGATCCGTATTGTCAACCTCTTGCAGAGAAACTGTAGTAATTTGCACTCCCCTCAGAAATCCAGTAGGGTCACCAACAAATCGCCAAGCTTTTGGCCCCTGGGAGCCATCTTAGTTGAGCTAGTGTACTGAGCGTGCCTGTGCTGGGGACCAGGGCACTGCTGCTCACTGGCTAATACTCATCAAGTCCTCGCCATAACCCAATGACGAAGTGTCATCTCTTCATTATTTATTTATTTAGAGAGATCCCTTGCTGGAGAAACAGAGGCAGAAAGTGAGAAACCACCTCCCAGGGGGGATGGCCATGCCACAATCCCTGCATGTACATGTGGCTGGAGGCTTCTCAGGCGGCCGGGTCTGGGACTCGAACTGCAGTCGGCCATGTGGGAGTCCAGCACCCCAACCACTATGCCACCTGCTGGCCCTGTTGTATCTTTATTTTACAGACCAGGAAACTAAAGTTTAGAGAGGTCATCCTTCCAATCCAAGGAAGAAGCTGAATCCAGACCTGAGAAAGCCAACTCCGGCACCCATCTTTCCAGCCCGGGATTCTCGACCTGAACACTCACCCAGGCGGCGGTTGGGTTGGCTGAGTCGCACCTCTAGTTCAGATGCGATGAGTGTGGGTGGGCCTGGAACGTCGCTTCTATGGTCCTGGGGAGGTGATGCTGCTGTTTCTGGGACTTCCAGAACCACTGCCCCTGTTACTGAAAGATGGAGCCTTACTGGACATGACCTTGCTGATCTACCTTTGACCCTTCGATCTTGATTGGGCGCTTATTTGAATTGTATGTCGACAAACCTTGTGTGTGTGGCGGTGAATCGACTATCTCGTGAACTTTCCAATGCTCCAGGTACGGTTTCGGCAAGTGATCTCAGTTCTGTAAGACTCTTACCGTTTTTGCAAGGGAGATGGTGTTCAGAGGAACCTTTGGGAATGACAAGGAATAATGTGTGTAAATAGCACTTTGAAACCAGTAAAATGTGCCAAAGCCATTTCTGATTATCCCCAGTGACGAGAAGCTGTGAGGTACCGCAGAAGACGCTCTGAGGTTGGGCAGGGAAGGACCGGGTTTGGGGTTCAGACATTGCCTGACCCTGGACAGGTCAGTTCACTTGCCTGAACCTCCAAGTGTCTCTCTAAAGATGGAGTATTGTGGGCTCCTTGGCAAGCCTGTGTGTCTCCCAGGCTCTTCTGCACGAGCTCAGACGTGGCTGTGTCCTGTGAGGACAGAGCTGGCCCTGGGATGGTCACGGCGTGGGTGCTCAGTGGTTTCCTCTCTGATCCCAGGACGGTGCTCCTTCCCTGCTGTTCCCAGACCTGACTTCCTGTTCTCTCCATATCCCGGCGACGATCTCTCCGTGACACAGAAGGGATTCTTTTCTGCAGTTGGAGAGGATGTGAGCACATGTGGAGTCTTAGAAAACCCAGGTGCGGCACATGGCACGGAACGAAGCAAACTGCGGTCCTGGGAGCTGGCCAGTTCCCCCAGATGCGTCACCATCAGCCGCGGTGCTTCCTGGGAACCTGTGAGGGGTACTCAGTCACAGGAAATCGCAGGTTGACCTCAAATCGGCCCAGCGAAGCTCACTGACCTCTCGGATGTCTGTAGCCAGAGCTTCACGCTGTGGTGTCCAGGGATCGCCTGGGGCTCTTGAGTTCCTGCAAATTGTGGCTCAGAAGGTCTGGGGTGGGGCCCGAGAATGAGCATTTCTGACAAGCTTCAGTGCCATTGGTCTAGGAACCACACGGACGCTGGCTATGAGCCGGGCAGGCCGGGGGGGGGTCTTGCTTAATCTCCACAACAACTCTGTGGAGTGGATCCAATGATTATCTTCAAACATCAAAGCAAATTAACAAAAAACCAAAGGTCCTAGAGAATGTTAGCCCAAAGACATATACTTTGTCAGTGGGTACAACCAAGATTGGACCCACTGATTAAAATGCTTTAAACATGCTATGGTAACAAAATACATGCAGAGACATGACCAAGGAGTGAGAAATCTCAGTTCTTTATTAAATCTGTTAATAAGGCTCCCCCTTCCCACCCCCAGTCTGAGGTTAATTTAAACTTTCCCTGATACTGTGGCAAATGCCGATCCCTCTCAGCCATGATAAAACAGTATGGAAGCTGACGTCACCATGACGTGCAGCGGTGTTAGTTACGAGTCTAAAGCAGAATCCCATATCCCCCATGCTTGTAACCAGTGTTCCTGGGATAATGCTGTGTGGGGCTGGGGGTGTGCCCGTGTGCTCGTGGAGTTCAAGAAGGTGGAAGACTGGCAGCCCCAAAGAGATCTATTTCCTGCTAATGGTATAATACAAAAAGTTCTTTTCATGAGACCAGCAGATAGATGGCATAGCGGTTACGTCACTGGACTCCCACATGGCCAACTGTGGCTCGAGTCCTGGACCTGGTGGCTTCAAACTCGTTCTAGGCAAATGTGCGCGCGTGCCCAAGTTCCCAAGAGGAGAATGGAGGAGAAGGGATTGCTACGTGGGCATCTCTGGGGGGGATTTCTCGCTTTCAGTCTGTCTCTCCAGTGAGCGCACGCGCCCTATAGCAAGAATATCTCTGTCAAAGCATCCCAGATAGGAGGTCTGGGAAAGTACCACAACTGGAATTCACAAACTGCTTTGTCCTTTACGTAGAAATAAGAGAGAATTTATTTTCATTCTGAGTTTATTTAACATTTCATCCAGTGGAACTGAAATACATTGACTCCAACACTGGCAAGACACTGTGCTAATACTGAAATAAAAACTGCCAGTCAGTAAAAACCGTCATCATTCTCTGGGGCGTGTCAATAGAAACCTTCAGAGCTATTTACCGTCACAAGCTTATTGCACTTCATGTGGATTTTTTTCCTCCAGAAAAGGTGTTTCTAAAAGATCAGCAAAGACTGCCAATCTTGGTTCATTTGTTCTTTATTTATTTTTTTAAATAAACCATGGTTAAACCATACAGTTAATATTTCTATATAAAAGCATTAAGAGTCTGAAGCTTCAATAAACAATGTTTAAAAAGACACCTCCACGTTCATGATGCCATATTATTATAACTATGCTTTGGTCATAGCTTCCTGGCGGGTGTGAAATTTTGGTTAGCCCGTCCATCCGACCTCCTGTTGCCATCACTGAAGACCAGCACTCTGAGGGAGCTGGCTGCGAATGAACTGGGGTTGGAACTCAGAGCCGGGACAGCGCGGCAGCCTCAAGGACTCCCGTCTCTTGCTGTTGGGTTGTCAGCAAAGTGGTGACGTAATTTTGTCTCTATTTCTCTATGCAGAGGTGTGCTGGGACTTTGCTGCCAACTCGACGCAAGCAGCCTTGAAGCGCCTCGTGGGGACCTGCCCTGAAGCTTGGGCTTTTGCCGTTTTCTAAAGAGAAGCACTGATGGCAACAGAAGATGCCCCAGGCCAGCTGGCATGGAGAAGCCACTTTGCCAAAAATGGTCTAAGGCCAAACATCTCTACGTGGGAGGGTTCTGGCAGCATCCAGGGAGGCCGAGTGGCCCAAAGCTTCAGATTCATTAATCCTTTCAGAGAAAAGAGAAACACAGACACAAGGCACAATATTTTTTCTTTATGAGGAAATTCGGTCATGGGTCACATTGTCAGGAAAAAAAAATCTGTCAAAACTAAATAGCTTCTATGTATTTCTTCACTTACAAATCTCCGAATTACAATGATCTACACTTAGTGAAACAACGGTTTTTTATATGGTGTTGAAAGTCTGTCGACTTGAAACATAACCTCTGTTATAATCCATATATTATGTGTGAAATTACTACAGGCGATGGAAACAGTGGCACGTGATTTCATTATTTTCAGACCGGTTGGAATGCAATGTAGAACGTTCAAGTAAGATTCTGCTACGAATTCATGGACACATCGTCTCTCTCTATGTCTTGAAAACCAACGAGCTTGATAAGGGAGACAAGAAAGGACGTTGATAACTGGAACTGTGGTCTCGTTTCTTAAAAAATCCATCAAAGCACACTCAACACAGTCACGCGGCACTGAGGGTGAGTATACCTCCAAATTTTGATATGTGTACATTTCAATGATTTGATTCCTTGATGTAAATTGGCTACAACATCAACAACTGCAGGGTAAGGGCAACATCTTTACGAGAATGTAAAACAATGAAATTAGAAGCCAACCACGGACTCCTGCCAGCCACGTGAACCCACGTAGCTGTGGACAGCGGGAGGGCTTGTCGGTAGGCTAGGACTGGCACTTGTGGCAGGCCCACGAAGGAGCTTCCACCCGGCATATCCAAAAACCTCCTCTCTTGGGTAGCCAGAAGTCATGATATAGTTTTCTGTTTTCCTATGCAAAACTGCATCAGGATTTTTCTGATGACCCAATACTTGGTGCCTGCCCTGTTCAACTGACAGCAAATTGCTCTTAATACTTAAGGATAAGTGTTTGTAATTTAGCCTCCGAGCTTTTGCCCAATTCACTGCTGAGAGCTCCTTGATTTGAAACAGAACTGGGATAAATTTTGAGGATTCTAAACAGATCATCTTTTCCTTGGCTAATAATCAGTAAATATTCTTTGAGCATATACTCAGCACCTACTCTTGTCTAGAAGTGGTTTTAAAAACTTTGAGTGAGAGCTGGGACAGTCTCTTTGAAGAACGATTACTGGAAAAGCTGTAAGAAGAGGATTTCTGTAAATCGCAACATGATTCAATTGTAAGGGAGCCAGCAGGTGCCGGGCTCCTGGCCTGCACCAGGGGCTGTGTTAAAAGTAGCAGCTTTATTCTAAAAGGGCAACGAGGATCTTTAAAAAGGTTTTTGTAACTGGGAACACCCAGATTAAACGGGATTTCCCCCACCAGCACGGCTGCACCAGGTTTGTAGTGGCAGGGCCAGCTGTGGCGGTTCCTCGTCCTACTTCACAACCCCTTATTGAAGTACACTCGTCGTAGTTCAGGATGGGTCTCTTGGATCTTGGCTTGCAGCTCAGCTTCCAAACTTGTCACAGACATGGAACTAAGATAAGGGAGAAACGACAGGGTTAATACCGGCAAAGGAGGGCCCCAGAATGTAGAGCGGGGAGAGGAGACACAGGTGTGGAGAGCCCTTGACTAGTGCAGTAAAACGGAGTCCTGTCGGAGAGATGCTTCCCGTGGCTAGAAAACGAGGATCCTGCTCCTCTCAGAAAAGGAATGATCTCCACCAGTCAAAGGAATACAACCCAAACTCCTTTGACCTCTCATGTTATTATAGCTGACAAGTCTCTCGCTGCCAGCACTAAGATGTGGAGAAGACATGTACACCACGTTGGTGTCAGGGCCACGATCCGTGGTAATGCCACTTCCCACGGAAAACCACAAAAACATGCACCATTGATGAAAACATACCCATGCTCCGTGGAATCCACAACACCAGTCATGAGGCCCCCCCCGACTGTGGGATTTAAATCTCAACCGGAGAACCCATGGGGACACAGGCAGGGTGGGAGGGCGGGTACCAGGTGCAATGTGGCAGAGAGACCTGGTGAAGTTCGTTCTAGAAGAACTCATCCAGAACCTGAGGCCAGGGCATAGAGACCACAAGGACTTCAGAAAGTTCCTGGGAGGGACCAACAGTTAGCGTAATGGCTATGTCACTGGACTCCCACGTAGTCGACCACAGTTCGCGTCCCGAACCCGGTGGCTTAAAACTCACGCCGGGCGCATGTGCATGCGTGCCCAAGATCCCGAGAGGAGAATGGAGAAGGGATTACGGTGTGGCCATCCCACATGAGGGGTGATTTCTTGCTTTCTGTCTCTCTGTCTTTCTCTGTCTGTCTGGCGAGCGCACGCGTCCTATAGCAAAAACCTCTGGAAAAAAAAAGAAAGTTCCTGGGAAAATGGAATTCTGGCAGGAGTTTATTCTGGCACACAACACTTTTGAAATCCATCGTTTTTTTTCATGATACATTTTCCTTGAACTTTTTGAAGACCCTGCCAATGTTGAGTACCTGTTGGCCTATGGAGGAAATGGTGTCCCAAAGGCAGGGGGCCTGTAAGACTGAAGCAAACCCATGATAGCAAACCGCTGCCCTTCTGGTCTCTGTGTAAGATTGAAGATACAGAGACCTCGTTTAGACAGTGCTGCTGGAACGCCAGGCACTGACGTCAGGGGGGCTGTGATGAGACACACGTACAGCCAAGCTTTTTTGTTGTTGTTAAAGAATTATTTTAATTTGATGAGAGAGAGAAAGTGAGAAAGTAGGCTACCAGGTCTGGGACTCGAACAATGGTCAGCCATGTGGGAGTGTCCTCCGCCTTAACCACCATGCCACCTGCTGGCCCCACAACCAAGCTTTTAAAGCAAAAATCTCAGTAGAAAGAAGGGAAGCAAATATACCAACTACCCAAGCTACGTGTATGTAATTGCTGTCTCTGGGGGTGGGACAAAAATTCTAAAATATCTGTAATATAGATGCATTTGCCAATAGATTGGATGACAGCAAACCATACATAAATTTAGTAAAAGCAAAGCTGCATCAGAGTTAATCTGACCCTTATAATATTGTCAGATTTAATGCAGGGGGTCGACAGGGGCTGAATAAAGAGTTTTGCATTAGATAGAGGTACGTTCATTTCTGCCTCTCTCTGAAAGGCCTCGACTTCATTATCCTTTTTAATCTCCACCTCTTCACCCTGTGGAGACCAGTGAGCTGCAAGAAGAGCATCTGCATCCTCAGCTGCTTTTTGGGAAGAAAACTCTGTCATCCCGAAGAATCACATGTACGTACCTTTTCTGAGGAAATAAAGCACAACACAGGGGCGTAGCGAACACCAAACTTCCAAAATAGAAAAAGAGAGACAAGTGAGAACATTTCGCAACGGTTGACTTTTTAGATTCTTTCTCTTTTACTTTGCTAACAATCCCCTTTCGTTCTTAGACCATCATAGGTCTCACGAAAATAGGTCCTGCTTGTGTCAATTGTATCGTGTAGGTTTGCCGACACGATGAATGAAACCGTCGAGTGTTAACTGCAGTTTCAGAAAGCGACTCAGAGAGCCCCAAATGCTGCAGGTTTCCTGGAAGACAGTTCCCTTCGAATGATTGGGGCCATAAGCTCCAGATGTTCCGGGATGGTCTCCTCTCCAAAGCCTCGATCCCATTACTCATCCTTCTGCTCCCCTTTCACACGGGTGTATTCGTCTTTCAGCAAGAAATTAGTTACTCGAAAGTAATTTCTACTCACCAGAAGCCAACTAATCCGACTTGAATAGGCGCGCTCATCCATGGGAACCTCTGTATTGAGAAATAAATGATTTTGAGTACTTTTCGACTGGCAATCTCAGACAGTTTCTTCTGCTGATTGACTAGAAGGAATCTCTACACACACGAGATCCAGATGGAATGAGCTTATTAGTAAGATGTGGGGTAACACTGCAGCACGTTAGTCCTGAATGCCTGGGGCCCTCTTGGGTCTGTCGATGAACACGCATGCAAACATCAAGTGGTTTCCACGCTTCCCCCGGCACTCATCATCTGTAATCCGGGTGCTGCTCGGCTCCAGGCAGGAGGTAGAGACAGCCCTCATTTAGTTATAACTGATCTCCTGGCTTGGGAGAGGCTCGGTTAGCCTGGTGCTAAGGTTTGAAGATAAACAAACCCCTACTCACATCTCTGTTCTACCCTTCAGTTCTTTTTAGAGAGATTTTTCCTATAAGGTGTGTGTGCTTGCTGGAGAGAGAGAGGGAGAGAAAAGCAAGAAATCACCCCCTGGGGAGATGGTCACACCGCAATCCCTTTGCCATTCTCCTCCTGGAATTTGGGGCATGCACACACACCCACCCAGTGTTGAATTTCAGGCCTCTAGGTCCAGGACTCGAACTGTGGTTGGCCATGTGGGAGCCCAGTGTCTTAACCACTATGTCACCATTTAGTTTTTGACTGTGGGGAAAAGGCAGCAGAGCCTAACCGCCCAAGCTTTGGTTTTCTTGTTAAAGTGCAAAGTGCATCCGTGCATGGATGAGTGTGCCAGGTGAGGTTCACAGAGCTCCTAGTGCCACGCCTGGGATGTAGCAGAAACCAGCGAGCATTAACCATCACTCACCCCAATCTTATCCTTCCTGGTTTTCGTTGCTGTCAGTTCATTAAAACTACTTCTGTCATTAAACATTCTTGCTAGTCACATTAAAAAAAAATTAAATAGAAATAAATAAGTTGGTTGGTCTTTCGGAAAATAAATGCCATTCGATTTTTAGTTTTAAAAAAGGAGTGGTACCAAAACCCACACACCAGCAAGTGCACTGAGAAGCGTGGTTATAGAGACAGCCCCGGGAACAGTGGTGACAAAGCAGGGAACTGGTCGTCACGCAATCAGCCAATGTCATGGGAGTCAGCACACGCAAGAGAAAGTGGGTGAGAAGCATGCCCAGGAACAGAGACATCTCTGCTGATAGGGCGGATTGGGAGGGTCGGTGTGAGGGAGAAAGGGGTGTGCTAGAAATGAAGGGAGAAACAGCGGCAAGAGGAAACTGCTGCAGGGGCTATGCAGAGGGGCCCCACCCTTCGAAAGATAGCAATAAATAAATAACAATTTGAAAAACTGTGTTTTGGGTAACCGGCTCTGCTTGGCGAAGGATTTCCATGAAAGATGGCACATGCTTGCCCTAGCGCCTCCTGGTCACCTGGGCTGGTGCAGGCTTGGGGATGGGGCGCCAAGCTGAACGCTGAGTGAGTGCCTGGGAGTGTCTGCAGCAAACTGGGCTAATGCGTCACCCAGAGTGGAACAGCCGGCGCCATCGCTGGGTGGACATGGACAAACTCATTGCTCACTGCGGCTCATGCCAAGGGTTTGATGGGAAAGCTCCTGATAATGACACGATCCCGGAGAATTCCCGCTGAGCCTGCAAAACCCCGCCCGGGTGTCACCCTCTCCAGCACCCATCCTGCCGGACTCACCCCTACTCCTCAAGTCGAACTTAGTTTGAGACTAGTTCTACTTGAGACATTTGGCATTTTCCAACTCATGGAATTCCCCGAGGCAGGAACGTGTCTTACCTAATAGAACTGTGCAAAGTATATTTTAAAGCAGAAGTTCAAGTAAAGACAGTAGTTGTGAGTTTAAACCACAATCCTTTCTCCTGCACTTCTCCCTCCTTTCAGGATTTTGGGCATGCATGCACATGCACCAAACATGTTTTTCAAGCCACTGGTCTGGGACTCAGACTGTACATCGGCCATGTGGGAGTCGGCTGCCCTAACAACCATGCCACAGGCTAGGTCACACATTTTTTCCTAAGAGAAAATTAAGTTGGATATCTCCAGTGAAATAAAGCTTTTCCCAAAGTGGTTCACTGCTGCTGATCGGTTTTCTGGCTATACTATTGTATTTTCATATGAAGAAATTGTCTCAAGGTTATGATGTAAGTTGGTGGAAAGATAGGATTCAAGTTAGTATTCTTGCCAAATTATGTGTAAATTGACCAGGGAAGTAATTTCCCACAGATTCTCCAATCCTAACTTAGACTAAAAGAAAAAAAAATTATATATACACACATACGCGTATGTATATATGTGCATGGGTGCATATGTATAGATGTGTATGTGTGCGTATGTATAGATGTGTATGTGTGCGTATGTATAGATGTGTATGTGCGCGTATGTATAGATGTGTATGTGCGCGTATGTATA